AAAAAAAAAAAAAAAAAAGAGAAAATGACTCTTCAGGTGGGTAGGGGAGCAGGAGCTTCATCCTCGACCTGTCCAAGAAGGTCGTTGCTGAGAGGAAGAGATGGCTCGTGAATAGGAGGAATGATGACTTCTTCTCCAAGGTTGAGAACCTCAGTTGATGGAATTATGGTCAGGGGAGTTGGACCCTCGACTTGGAGCTGGGGCTTAGCCACCTTCAACCTCCCCTTGGTCCTCGCCCTCTTCCTCGGACTCGTCCGAGTAAACATAAGTCTCCCCTCGAGCTTCGACCCTCATCCTTTCAACTTCTTTCTGATAAGCTCGGGGAAGGAAAGAGAAGTCGATTGAAGGATGGGCTTCCCATAATTTTCGGACAAGGAAGACAAATGTTTCCTAGGCCCGAGTAGTAATGGCCCCGTGCAACTTGTCAATCCAAGCCTAAGCTGTCTAGCCTCAGCTTCGACCTCTTGGCAACCCGCTACCTCCTAACCAAGGTTGAGCGAAGACTGTTTGGACTTGGCCTCCCAGCTCGTGGCAGCCTTTTGAGCCGAAGGTAGCTCAAAGTTCAGTTTGTTGTTGGCACCCCGCTGTTATGCCAAAGTCTTTGCGACCTCTACTGCCTTAGCTTCCACCTTAGCCTGAGCAGCCTCACTCACTTTCAGCTTGTCAATGAATTCCCTTTCCTTGACCTAGAAGGTCGTGACTTCCCCCTTGAGTTGCTCGAGCTCAGCACGCCTGACCTTTTTCTCCTTCGTTGCAAGCTCAACCCTAGCCAGAGCGTCCTCCTTCACTATCTCTGCAGCCTGCCATTTTCGGTGGTTTGCCTCTAAAGTGCCGTTACATTCCTCGTACAGAAGTCTGCTCACGATGGCAACTTGAAAAGAGAAGATGAGGAGTAAACAAGAAGTAAGAATAACATGCAAAAGAAAAGAGGGTACAAACTACCAGTACTTTCGTCGCATAGCTGCAAGTTAAAGCCAACATCTATGAGGGAGACGAGTCCCTGACTGCCGAAAATGTTCGTGGGGTGATGTAATCCCTGGCCACTGCAGCCCCAACACCGATATGGTCGGGAAGTTGATCGATCAGCCCATTGACCACAACTTGGGCCGCTTCATCCGTTTTCTTATTCTTTGGCTGGGACAAGCCATGTTTACTCCCCCCAGCAACACTTGCCTCACCAGCAAGAGCGGAGTTCTTCTTGGCCAAGCCTTTGGTCGCGGGCTTGTGTGGCGACCTCTTTGCCTGAGCCATCATGATGCTCAGGTACTTTATTTTTTCCCGAACCTCTAGTTGGCTCGGACGTCTTCTTCTTTGGCCCTTTTCGGGGCTCCGTAATGTTTTTCCCGTCAACTGCCTTAATGGCAGTTACGGGCTTCTTCGCGCTTGGGCCTCCCCCAAGCTCGCCATCGGCGCACTTCGAGCTGGTAATATCTGCGAGCTACTGTATCCCCGAAGTAGCCAGAGCCTTTGTGATGGCCACAAAGGTAGCCGTTTTCTTATTTTTCGGCCCACGTTTCTGCAAGGAAAAAGGCAAACGATTTAGCAATCTATTTGCGTGGGAAAGCAAGCACGAGCAAGTAAAAACTTAACCTTTCTCCAAAAGTGCTAGAAAAGTGGCCTTATCCCAACAAAAGTCATACGCTTTCAGGTGAGGAAGCGTAAGTAGCTCGTTAATGTTTTGCTGATTGTCCGAAAGATCTCTAAAAAGCTACAGCCTCTATAAGCCCGTAGTTAGAAGATAACTCTGCTCGACATTAATTGCAAAAACAAAACAGGACGATCAATTAGAATGTATAGCTTGGGAACAATCCTCGCACGAACATGGGAAGCTCGAGCCTTACTCACTTCCGCAATGAATACACCAGTCTCCCGGGCTTTGTAGAAAAAGAACAATGAATCCTAGTGTGGAACTTTCTTCGAGACGTCGACCAGTCTATTGAAACGTACTCTCCTCGCTTTGGAAAGATAGTACGCCTAGTCTTACCCTTTTTTGAGCCTTTACAAGTGGATGAGCTCTTTGACAGACGGCTCGCCCCAGTCAGCGATCATGTACACGATGTACATTGCGATAATGATCTCATAAGAATTGGCCGTTAGTTGAAGAGGAACGATGTCGAATCGCCTCAACACGTTATCGATGAAGTAGTGCGGGGGAATGGATACCCCACACCTAAGGAGAGTCTCAGAGGTGGCTACCCATCCATGTGAAGGGTTTTTCTAAGAATATCCCCCCGGAACCATCAAATTAAGTTGCAGTGCATAGACCGCTCTTATGAGTTCAAGATCCCTGAGGGTGATTGAAGATTGTGGTTCCTTTCGTAGCTTATGGGCTGGAGACGGTGGGGAGTGAGCTAGTTGAATCGAAGCACGATCGGACGAGTCCACAATATCGGGGTCTGAGCTTCGAGAGACGAATTCTTCAGAGACCCCAAGAGACACATCCCCAAGGGCTGCTGAGCCTACCGGCGAATTGAACATTCGGTCTATGGTACGACTATTAGAGGAAGACATGGTTGTAGCTCGCTTCTGGGTACTTGAAAAAAGAAGGAAACATGTGTCAGAACTCGAACAAATCGACGACCATTCCACACTCGCTTCTATTTCAGGCACCCGAGATAGCTCGCACAATACAACGAAGGTACGCGACCTACCCAGGATATCGACAGCCACTGCATTAAACCTCTTTAAAACCTGAGACTGCCGGAGACACAACAAAAACCTTACTAAAACCTTAAAACATCCAATGTGGCCACTACAGTAGCCACCTTTTGACGTAAAAATCAGAAAAACAGAAGAAAATAAGGAAAAGAGCCTTACCGGAATAAGAAAATGTTGGGAACTCATGAGAAAGACCACCACAATGACGTAAGAATAACGGTGAAGGAGAACTAGAGTCAGTATAACTTTTGGAGTGACGATTCTGAGGTTTTTCGTCACCTTTTATAGTGGTTTGCATGGGAGACGAAGGGGCGAAGTTTAATCGTGGCCGTCGATTTATAGTCGATCTTGACCCTTCAATGATCGAGCAATCTCAACCCATAGACGTGGCCACATGTCGACCATCCGCGAGGAGCGACGAACCCTCAGATTGCTATAATAATAACCGTCACCGCACGTCGCCTCGACTTCGCGTGTGAACAACTGTCGTTGCCCACGCGCGATGATACGTAACTAACAAAGGCTGTCGCATTTAATGCGACACCACCACGCATAAATTACCTGTATGCCTTGACTGCTCATATTCTGAGTTTTGACAAGTACCATGAGGAATAAAGATCCAAGTGTGAGGTACGTCGGCCAAGCACAAGGTCGATCATGGGGGCCCGATCGGACACGCACTCGGAGACTCTTGTCGAAGCTGAACTTGACATCAGATCGAGCAATAGTCTTTGAAGCTCGAAACGAGCATCGAACACTAGGGGGTAAATGTTATGTGTGAGTTTTCTGCCAAGCTCTGGCCAATTCTAGGATATAGCTCGACTCAGAATGAGCTCGACAACTATGATTAATCGATCCAACATAAGCTCGTCGAGCTATAGCTCGACTCAGCATAAGCTAGTCGCGAATAATTCAATCAATCCACAGATTACTTCAGATCCCAGATATTGTGGGAATGACTGTATCAACAGTAATCATTGCACAATCACAGCGCCCTGTCGCGAGGATATTAGAATTATGATTCGAATAAGTTGTAATCCCTAAATTTTGTTTTTTCCTTCGTACCAATCTTGTATATAAACCCTCTCAGACAATGAGGAGGGAGTTACGAATTTCAGATAAAAAATCGCATTGTAAGCTCTCACAGCAAATAAAAAAACACAGTGGATGTAGGCTGTTAACCTGGCTGAACCACTTTAAAAATCTCTTTGTTCTTAGTTCATTTCATTCATATTCATCACTGATTTTCACTAATCACGCACACATCGATTCCGATCCCGGCAAGGTCGATCGGATCACGCTAGTTGGTGCAGAATTCTGTATCAACAATATACAATTAATTTTCAATTTTGTCTTTAAATGTGTTAACATAGTGAAATTTTTGGCCTATGGTGAAAACTCTATATGAGGTATTTTCGTATCTAATAATAAAAAAAAAAAAAAAAATTATGTTAATTAAAAACTATTTTCTTTATATTTTTTAGATACAAATGGTTTAATTTTGTAATACTATCTACTTTTCAATGGATAACATAGCTGATGGATTCAATCTTTCCTATCTAGAATTAAAAATTGATCACATGTAAAATTATAATAAAATAAACATACAATGGAAATAACGATTTACAACAATGAGCAATATTATAAGATAAAAGAAATTGGAATTTGACTAAAATTATTGTGGTGATGATATTGTAGATTCCTTTATTTGTGGAGAATCTAGAATTAAGAAAATTTATGATTAATTAATTTAACAGTGAAAGAGACTAATGCAAAAGTTTAAACAAGTCAATTAGCTCTACGCAATTGCCAATCGTGAATCAAATGTGTTTTTCATGCTAAATAAATTTTTTTACCTCAAATAAACCATAAGCCAACTCTTGATTTTAATAAAAAAAATCTCAGATTCAACAAGATTTGATTATGTTCATCTTATACACTTATACTCATAATTAATGGGTGTTGATTATTTTTTTTTTTTTTTTTTAAAGTTGCACTTAAACTGTTGGAAAAACCAAAAGAAATAACAAAATAAATTAATTAAGCATGAAACAAGTGAAAATTGTTTCTTAAACTATTATAATTATAGAAATAGACGTTACAAACATGCCATGCACGTTGTTTCTTAAACGTGATAGGCAATATAAAACCCTAACACCATTAATTACATTAATTAAATTAATTAATTAATTAATTGTTGTTCTCATCTTTTGATTAGGATTTAGATTTGGTAGCTAATTTACCATAATTTTAAAGTCAATCCCTATTTTTAGAAGGCAAATCCGTAGCCATAAATCTTCTCCATCGATCCCTCTCTCTTCTTCTTCTTCTTCTTCTTCTTCTTCTTCTTCTTCTTATTCATATTCATCCTCTTCTTATGGATCTTCCTCCCTCTAACTCTTATCAATCCATATTTGACAGGAACTTTCACTCTTTTTCTTTCATACTTAAGGCGAAATTCAAATATACACTAACCCTTTTTTTACTCTTAATTTCTTCTGTTGTTGTTTTTATTCTTTTAAGCTCTTTCGAAATCGAGCCTGAGTCTCTTTTTCGTTTGAGTTTCTGGTCTCAAATCTTACCAAACAATAAAAAATCATCGGTAGGAGTTTGTGATTACTCTTATGGAAAATGGGTTCGTGATGAGTCTTATCCCCGTCAATCGTACGACGAAAACTGCCCGTTTCTTGATCCTGGTTTTCAATGCCGTCGGAATGGCCGGGAAGATGGAGAATATCTCAAATGGCGATGGCAACCGCAGGGCTGTGATCTTCCAAGGTATTTTTTTGATGCATGGTTGTGGTATGCATGCACGTGACTAGCACGTCCATTTCGGTCCTTGTGTTTCAAGTTTTTGTCATGGGGTTAGATAGAGACACCTCTTTGAAAGGAGTAGTGGATGAATAACTTTTATTAAATGTCAACATATGTAGTTTGATTAAAAGTGAGTTGGTATTTTCATAGACAGGTAGGCCGGTTGATTAATACTGGCAAGTCCACATTTAATTTGAAGCCAATAAAAGTCATGACTTCTTGTTGCCAGGCTGCTGAGATATATGTCTATCAGTCTGTACATGAAAATAAACAACTTAAATCATTTATTCATTCATCTCATGTCCTCTAAATCACCATTACTTCCCTTATTTTGGTAAGTCATAGTATGTATAATTATAATGTTGTACAATACAAATCAATATTCGGTTGTTTTAACGCGTGCTTTATGAACATGTTAACATCACTAACAGACATAATATTTGTTTATTTCAATGTATTTTATGTACATAAAGAAAAAAAAATTTAAATATATTGATTAGTTAAATATTTTGTCTATTAGTAATCTTAACGTGTATCTTAAGAAGATATATGGAGACAACCCATCAATATAATACAATGTCATGTTGAATTTTGTATTATCATATTGTATAGTTCTAATTAATATAATATAATGTCTAATATGATTTTTACACTGTACAAGTATTTATAGTTAATCATATTGTATATCCAAGTATTTATAAGAGAATTAAGTTAACAAAACGTTATTCTCCACTTTTAAACTTTATATTGAATTGGGACTAAGCTGAAGTTGGTACGGGAAAATAACCATATAAGCGTATTTAACATCTAGACTCTAGTGTACGGAACTTAAAAGCAATTCAACTTCCTGTCTTTTGGTCATCTCTTATTATTGTATTTGCTTTGTTCCTGCAAATCCCAGATTCAATGCCAGTGATCTTTTGGAACACAGCCGGAATGGTCGTATCGTGTTTGCCGGTGATTCGATTGGGAGAAACCAGTGGGAGTCCTTCGTTTGCATGCTTGCACAGGCAGTTCCCAACAAGTCTACAATATATGAAGAAAATGGAAAACCCATAACCAAACACAAAGGCTTTCTCTCTATGCGGTTTCAGGAATATAACATGACAGTCGAATATTACAGAGTACCTTTCCTAGTCGTCATCGGTCGCCCACCACAAAACTCATCACAGGAAGTTCAAAGGACCATTAGGGTCGATGAGTTACACTGGTTTTCCAGGAAATGGATAGGAGCAAATGTCCTAATCTTCAACGATGGGCATTGGTGGAATGAAGATAAAACTTCAAAGATGTATGAACCATTACTTCCCTCACATAAATTTTCTAGGTCTCAACTCTCTTACAGGAAATTAATGGCATGTTGTGTCTTTAGGGGCATCTATTTTCAGGAAGGAGGGAAAATAAATACAACCATGGATGTGATGGAAGCATTTCGAAGGTCTCTGCAAACACTGAAGTCGTGGGTAATAAAGAACCTAGATCGGGAAAGAAGTCACACTTTCTTTCGAAGCTACTCTCCGGTACATTACAGGCAAGAATTAAATATCTGTGCATTTTAGTTAAAATACCGAACATAAAAATAAATTGTTCTAGTAGACATCAAAAATAAGTTTTAACCTCTTTATATACATTCAATCAAAGAGGGTAAGAAGAATGGTTATATTTTAGAGTACGCAGTATTTGTCAGCAAGAACAGCCAGAATTAGCTTTACATTTGAACTTTGCAGGAATGGCACATGGAATAAAGGCGGTTTCTGTGATAGAGAGAGAGAACCGGAAACAATCTACACAAGGCTTGGAGCTGAGGCCCTCAATAATCATTTCATTTCAGATGTAATCAAGCAGATGAGAAATGAAAACAGGAAGGTTCAGTTCTTAAACATTACATATCTGACAGAGTTCAGGAGCGACGGTCACCCCTCGTTCCATCGTGAGCCAGGCACTCCTACTAATGCTCCGCAAGACTGCAGCCATTGGTGCCTACCTGGAGTGCCAGACACATGGAATGAGCTTCTCTATGCTTACCTATTATCAATGGAATTCAAAACAAAGTGATTTTACCTGGGCAGAAAAATTACCTTGTATTGAGAGTTTGATTCAATTTTAGGGATGTATTGTAACAAACTGTGCTGGTGCTACTCATACTACTTCACAACATTTTCATCGGGGTCCACTTCACTGGTTTCCATTTCCTTAACTTTATCAAGCTGCCTCAAGAGATCCAACCTTTCTGGTCCATACGTGGAAGGTATCTGTTTGAACAACACAAAGTGGCTTTGCGATAAGTGTGGATTTGAAATCTGAAGAAGAATTTCCAACAAAAGAGCAGGTAGGGTGAAAACACGTACCAATGCTGGCACATATCTCTGAATAGCAGCCAACATGGCTGCATGACCAACTGCAGTAACCTGTGGCACAGAGGGTATCCTCAAGATTATGTCATAATGATCAATGGTGAAGAGACTGTAAAATAAAAATAATGTTTTCCTTGATCAAATATTTTATGCATGGATTGGCACAAGCCTAAATTAGAACTTCCATATATAAAATCATTCTTGTCTACTATTTTACTGCTTCTTGGCAGTAATAAACTAATGTGTCCATCTATTAAGGAACTGTACAACAGGGTCTGTTACAGCCATGTGCTAAAAGTTAACATACCAAAAGGCCAGGATGTGGTGCGTGGCATTTAGATAAGCTAATTCCAAATGAGTACAAGCATCGAGAACCTAATGACCCACCACAATGAAACTTGTCTAAATCTGCCTTACAGGAGGTGTTCAAAAGCTCTATTAGACAGTTGAACTTCCCAAATTATTAAGATTTAAGAACTTAATCTGAGAACCCAAGCAGATAGGTAATGGAAAAGTGTTTTAACACATAAATCGTACTCAAATTAATGGATCAATGATGGTCCTTTTGCTTCAATATGAACAAAAAAGTAAACTCACATAATCGGGATGAAGATTTAGAAAATGAAGCATCACACAGCAACTAAAGAGATGAGGAAGAAAAATGAGTATAAGCAGAAGATCAAGAATAAGAATTTTACCGGCAGAAGCATTAAAACACCAATAGGTACTACAGATGCTAAGTCAGTGAGAGTTCGCCGGAGAGCTTGCTTTTCTTTCTCTGTTAATTCATCTCCAACCAGTGCCCTCCTAAGCAACACCGTGGCAGCAGCAACATCAATAGCCAGAAGTTGAGTTCCTTGCCAGACATCCTGCTCATTAATTCACAACATATACCCCTAAGAACAGGCGATCAAGGTAAAGAGCCAGAAAACTCTAAATTCAGAGATCAACTTCAAGAATAATCATCACCAAACATCAAAGAAAGCGCCCATATGTGGACAAGTTAAGGCTCAATTCTCAATAATCACCTCAACAAAGGAAATAAAGCTTAATAAAAGCAAACACTCATCTCAGGGATTCCTAAAAGTTGAGAACAAACGCAAAATTTGCAACCATAGATGCATTAATGGGCACAAATATAATGGGGTGTTAACAAATGGTTTTAAGAGTTTCCACCTTTTCTTTTCATACTCCACTTCCCCAATGCAGTTAGCACAATCATCTATTTCAGCTTTAATATTTAAAACTAAATCAAATTTCTTTTGTTTGGATTAAAGCTAAAGCTACAATATAACACTATCAGACGACAATCATCTTTTGATTGGTGGAAATTCGTAAGATATTCATACCGTGCTAGTTTCTTTTAGTTTGTCAATTGATTTTTCAATGATATTTTCTTTCTTCTGATCCTGGACCAATTGAGTGTCTCTAGCTTCATCAGTGTGGTTAGCACTATCATTCATAACCTTGACATCCTGCAAAAGGAAAAATTATAATTAGTCAGTTAGAATGTGCTGCCAACATCATAACAATATCAAGTCAAAAGTAAAAACACATTCCTCTCACCCTTCCCACTAACAGACTTTTTTTAAATAAAGCAACAGAACTTATGCTTGAATGATATGCCCTCTTTTGGTAATAGCAGTCCCCAAGGCAAAATAAAGAGGGCATTATCTAGGTGTCAAGACAACAATGATTTACTAAAAAAACATCAACAATTTGGTATAGATATCTCAAAGTTTATGTCTATACACATCACCAAATCCTGCACAAGCTTCAGATTTAGGAATTTGGTAGCGATCATATATTTCCCTACCAGTCTTGTTGAAGATCAGAGCAGATTGTGTTATACTTACTAAATAAAGCAAGTCAGACTATCAATCTTGTAACTCAAAATCCTCAGGGTTCATTAAGTTACAATGCCACAGAAAATTGGGGGAGACCAAGATGCCAAGAAAAAAAATTGTTTATCTGAGAAAGACAAACAATGGGGGAAATCATAAATGAAATTCATATAATGTCAAATAAATTAATCAGTAGAATATCCCAAGAGGTATGACACATGGTGTAGGGTTCTAGGATTAGTATATGAAACTGAAATTTATTGTTTATCAGGTGCAAATTCGTAAATCAACCTACAAAACCAATTGGCATATAGGAATATTCAATCCAAATAGAAGAGACACCAGAAGGGATACATATATTCCACTAGGCCAATTCTCTTTAAAGTCACAAAAGGACTATTATTAAAGGAAATGCATATAAAAATATCAGAATATTGCAAAATTGAAAAATACAATGAATATAACGCATTGTAATATTACATAGAATAAGCTCCTTGCCTTTTCTCATAAAGTATGGTATTCAAAATGACACCTCTAATAATATAACTAAATCCAAAACATTGTATGAAAAAACTTGGTTCTCAAAATTATGGGATATACCTCCTCATTTTCTGACCGATCAGCACTTCTTTGAACTCTTTTCTCAAGTTCTATTAGCTCATTTCTTAGAAGTTCAAAGCGGCGAATTTCATTGGACTCTGAGTTTGCAACATCTATGTTTGAAGTTGTCAGCTCAATATATTCATTTCCCTGCACACACCAACCAGTCCAGCTATTTTTGTTTTAACAAAGCTCACCAACTATTAACAGAAAAATGATATTTGAATTTCATAAACCAAATAAAATTAAACGAAGTTTGGTCTACAGCATCAACATTATTATCCCATGAACTGAAGAAAAACTTCTGCAGCTGATAAATCCTCATAAAAGCACTCCAAAGCAATGTACAGGTAGTACTAAGCTTCTTAAGTACGTTTTATTTACTTATCCGAGAAAATTACATGTGAAAGGAGCTTCTTTCAACTTCAACTGAAGTGATTAGTCACTCCACAATGGAGAATTTGGGATAAATGACTACTTAGTAGGAAAGATGCTCTAACAATATCTAGACTTTGGCGATTATAGGTTATATGGAAAGAAATATACAGTACATTTCCTATTTATATAAGCAGAACAGAACATTTGGCAAGTAATCTCAAAAGGCTGAAAGAAAAATGTTAAGATAAATCACAAGTCATTAATAATCACTTTCGATACTTGAGCATATAGTTGATATTAAGAATTCGAGGGACAATAGCAATATAGGAAAACTTCATCAATATTCTAGGGAAGTTTCATCTATTAATTGATAAAACATTGAAAACTCCAGCGAAAGGATACGTTGTGGCTTTACTAGCTTGTACTACCAAGAGGCAATCAAGCCAAGTTTATACATATACTAGCTCAAAGTCTCAAGAAATAAGAAGCATACACAAACAGTAAGCATATTATCATGAATGGAATTCAGAAAGATAGTCTAATGTCAAAAATGATCAGATTGTAATCCATACAGTAAAGATCAGACCAAGAGATCAATGGCATTAATTTTCATGATAGATCTGTATTGATGCAGGCAGTAACCAGGACGCTCTGACACAAGAATTTCTAGATTTCAACTAATCCAACGGGCAACAGACTTCTAAAAATAATTAAAGAAGTACACAATAGGATACTGAAATAATTATGGCAAAGACAACAATGCTAAATGACTTGTAAGGAGACCAAGCATACATATTCATCAACAACGGATAACTCAGACTCAGGCTTCCTGGTGGGAGGGCGCATAATGAAGCTCAACAATCCACGAGATTTACTGAAAAGAAAAAAGTAAATTAGAAAAAATAGCAGTTCAATGTGGCATAAAAACAATGCCCTAAACAGGAAGGTTTAAGCATGTTGGCAACTGCACAAACTTCATACCTCTTGGCCCTATCTTGCATTAAGTTAGTACTTCTTCTCTTTTTGCCCTTCAAGTATATTTGCTGTTCGCCAGTAGAAGACCGGGTATCACTGTCATCATCTCCCTGGATGACCAGTGTAACAATGGCAATAAGAAATATTTTCATACTTCAAAAAAGATACTGAATGTACATAAATGAGCCCCATAAATGGAAAATTTGTGAAACACTATTTTCTTTTTGCTTTCTTTTTGTTCTTAATTATTCGGATGAAGTATTAAAATATTGAATATATGGACAATTGTTTTTAGCATCACACTTTGAAGAAGTGTAGGAAAAGTCACATGAGCAATCGGACTATTAATAGCAACATCAAGTTTCTAAAGAGGATGTATTGGACCTAGTGGGTTCCTGGTCTTCAGGTATATGACTAACAATTTATTCATTGAAATCATGTTAGTGATAGCAATAAAAGTCACTGACAGATTATCGAATGCTGTTATCTTGAAGTACAACTAATATTGACTTTTAAGAGAAAATGAATGTCTCAACTGGAAAAATAGCAAATAAAGAATGTTTTTGGGTGCATGATTGTAAAATAAAACAAAGTGATTAATACCTGCTTGAGAGATGCTGCTTTTGCTCTGAAAGATGCCTCTAGGAACTCAGTCTCTTTCTTAAGTTTTCTTATTTTCTCAAGGTCAGAACAAGCAGCTTTCAATTGCTCTTTTCCAGATGTAGAACTTGCCAAATGCAATTCTTGAAGCAATTTTTCGAGTCTTATCAAAGCTTCTTCAACACTCTCCAATGCCTAACATTGAATGTAAATGACACCACATAATCAGAATAAAAGGACATAGCAGAGGGACTGGTGCATAGGATTGATAGACCCATATATGCATGTTAAACACCAAACACCAATACTGAAAGGCCAGCGATATATAACATATTGCAGTAGGCAAAATTTGAGACATCT